ATTGTAAATGTCAGCATCAAACAAGTACAGGCGTTTAAATATCTGGAAAGTGAGTTCAACCTTTGCATCTGGTTTAGCAGGGACAAACAAGAAACAGCATAGTAGGGTTAACAATAATCAACATATACAAGATATCCACTATCAAACAAAATAATAGATACCTGAAGATGGCCAAGGGGTATTTGGCCGAAACGTTCTGTTTATAACATTTATAAAAGTCAAAGATTAGAATAATAAATTGAATAAGTAAACATGTTGTTCAGTGAAATTCCACTCCTGTAACTTTTATTGGCGTGGCAAGTGAGCCCCGCTCTCCGAGTTCAAATCCCGAGCTCGCCAGTTACGTTCACATTTACTTTCAGCTATTGATAAAATAGCAGTGTAGAGAGGGCTTTGTAGCGTTAGAAGAAGCACAACTCTAAATTCAAAACCTCGGAGAAATCACTCCACCATGATTCTCAAGAAGGGATAGCAATTCATGGGTATTAAAAAGAAAAACTGTGGGGTGACTATTTTCTGAATGGACATAGCTATAAAAAATAATGTTTTTATTGGCAATGGTACTTTTATCCCATATTACGATTATCCCATACCTGACTTTCCCCTTCTCAATGAGCACAAACTTTCCAGACTTCATCAAAAACCTTGATTCCACGAAGGCTACTGGTTCTGTTGTTTTTAATGATCTTATCCGCGGTTTATCTTCAACTAGCAGTAGAGCCCGGCGTTGCCCGGCGATGTAACAGTAAGAGATAAATCAAATATCGACCATCGTAAAGACTGAAAAATAAAATTGACAAAGATTATTGTTTAAGGTTGATGGACACGCATGTCTTAATTAATTTTTTTTTTTGTTGTTTTTTTTGGGGGTTTTACGAAAAACCCAAACTGAAACAAAAACATTGTTTTCAATCGTTATGAGTCTACCGATTGAATAGAATTTTCTTATAAACAATTGTCTTGTAAATGGAATTTTTAAAGCATTCTGAATGTAAAAATAAAGAAAAAAGTGCGCAAGACAATAAGAAACACTATCTTCCACCCCAAAAAGTGAAGTTTTGTTGAAATCGGTTGAAAAATGTAGGAAATATGATCCCATATATAAACGAACACAGACACACACACACAAACTGGGTTTTATAAGTATAACTCGATATGAGTTGTCCCCCTTTCATTCTGGCGACAGAATCGTGTTTTTTCGTGTTTTCAAATTGATTTTGTTCAAAAACAATTGTGTTTTTTCAATTTTTGGCGCAGTCAGAACCAACGCAAGGTAATTTTACGCAGTTCTGTGACGTTTTGTTGAAATCGGTTGAAAAATGTAGGAAATCCGATCCAATATATAAACGAACAGACACACACACACACACAATCTGCATTTTATAATAAGTAAGATATTGCCAATGCTGATTAATCGCCGCCTGAAAGGGAAATGTTTCTCAAATCTATGGAAGGTGTCAGCTGTATGCCTTGTTTTCAAGAATATTGCCCCATCAGCCTCCTTAGTGCAGTTACGGGTGGCATATCCGCTCGCAAATATTAGGTTGGTGCAAAAATAATGACGTAATAATGTCGTTTTTTGACGTAAAAAAACGACATTCTTACACCATTATTTTTGCACCAACCTAATATATTATTGAAGGACGGAAGACAACAACAAACAAAACGAAAACTTGAGAAAAAAATGTATTGCCAAGTTTATTTTCGTTAAAGAAAATACATAGACAAAATTAAGGTGACATTGCACTCGATAAAAAATATCTCTGCATGTTCATGTTGAGGGTAAGAAGAGCGTTGTCCTGAAAAGTTTTGTATTCGTCGAAAAGGGTTGTCCTGAAAAGGACAGTTTATTGCTTATCGTTCCTGCTTGCGAGGATGGCTGCCTGGAGCAGGGGATGATGGCGAGTTGAGGATGGCGATGATAGCTGAAACTGCTATGGCTGGAGACATGGGACGGTTGTCTGCTGCTAGAACAGATACTACACTTTGATCCTAGTCATCTTGTCCGTGGATTGTTTTGATTTGTCCGTGGATAAAAAGACATGATTGTGGCACAAGGCCGTAGGGGAAGTGTGGAAAAGCCGGTCGTCACTGACTAGTCTAAACTTAGATATTGTACTTTAATTATAATTGTGGCACAAAACCAAAGGGGAAGTCACTGACTACCGTAAAACTAGTTAGTCTGTTTCATATCCTATTCATTCTAATATTGTCCACGGACTCTCTCTCTCTCTCTCTCTCTCTCTCTCTCTCTCTCTCTGTGTTAGGGGGGCATTTTTGAGGTATTTTTACATGCTGGATCAATTTTAAAATCATCACTGGCCATGGAGTTGAAGTTTCTTCTTTCGGTTGTTTTAAAAAAAAATGTGCGCGTGCCGACAGGATACGACAATGTCACCAATCAACTCTTTGTCTATTATAAAGGAGGCAGTCACTCACGTTTCAGAAAAAAATTTCCCCCATTATGGGTATTATCATATCCTGCTGGGGAAGCAGATTTAACCTCTGCTCGGGTCCTTTGGGCCAAGCTAAAAAAAGCAACCGCTCCTTTTGGCTGCTGTAAACAAAGTGAATGGAGGGTTATTCTCATCACTGTATGGAGTGACGTCACTAAGTGGCCGTCACGTGACCCATTTGCTTTATCTCCACCGAAGGGAGATAATCGCCTTCTGTATCTCTACATATGTGTGCGTTTTTTTTAACTTTTAATTAATGCACAAACGCCAAAAACTAAATAATGATTATTTCAACAAATAAAAGCGTCTATAACTTAAGAGTCCGCATACTCAAATGTATAAATAAAAGAAACGTACACGTCACACCTCGCTTACTCTTTGCCTATGTCACAACACTCTTTGCCTACGTTACAACACTCACTAGTTCTATGAAACTCATCAACTGCAGACCAGATTTAGAAAAATAGAAAAATAAATAAATAAATAAAATAAGAAAATAGAAAGTTTGGACCATATTTTTTTGGAAATGAAACTACGGACATTTTCTGGTGGAATTCCCTGCTTTTCTGAGAAGCATTATTCTTATTTTGGAAAAGTCGATCAATAAAATTAATAGACACAAAATGTCTGTTGTTCATAATAATATATGCAAGCCTAAATATACAGAATATATATATCAAGTAATGTCATAGCTTCATTATAAGAAATTTAAGTTGTTTGAGCGTGTTTCGTTTGCTTTTCTGAGAGAAAGAGTTGGACAAGTCTAATGGTGATTACGAAGGTACGGCAGCTCGGAAAACTCACTCTGGTCGTTCTGATAAGAAAAAAAAACACCCGAATTTGTTGGTGAGGACCTCACACTCAATGCAGAGGCCTACATAACGTGCCTCGAGAAAGTAGTGCTGCCCTGGGTCAAGAGGATGGCTGCTGGAAGACACTATGTCTGACAACAGGACTCTGCACCATGCTACACAAGCAGGGGAACCCAGTCATGGCTGCCAGATAATTTCTGCGACCACATCATCCCTTACGTCTGGTCAGCTAACTCCCCAGATTGCAACACCCTTGATTATTATGTATGGGGCGTAGAGAGACCGACAAAATTCCTTGTAACACCAAAGATGAACTGAAGGCAAGGATTATTGCAGTATTCACCATCTTAAACAAGGAGACCGTCCAGAAGAGATGCAGGAGATTTCGAAGTGGTCTGGAGGTCGTGGTTGAATCCAATTGTGTTCTTATTGAATTTACTTTTGAGTATTTTTGTGTAATTTTGGTAAAACTATCTGTTAAAATGAGATGTCAGTATTATTTTCATTTTTACGTAATTTAGACCACAATTTATCCGTCGCACCCTGTAGGTAAGCAAATGGATATTTTTAGCCATTTTTACTTTTAACGGAATGTATTGATTGTTTTAGGAAACAAACTTTCTTTTTTTAGAAATTAAATGTCGCATTTTTTCTTTTCTGATTATCATACCTGCAAAAATAATTTCGAACCATTATTGTTTGAAATCTTGTGACAGATTGAACGGAGTTCAGATTAAAGAATTAATTGAAAATTCTAGATAAAAAAAAGCCGGATTTCAGGCCATACTTTTTATAATATTATCAATGGTGTTGGAAATTAGACGGTTAAAATATGATTGTCAACACGCATGCGCCGATGACAGTGTACGAAGAATAAGCGTTAAGCCAGCCGCCCAGTCAATCAGACAGCCGCTGAAGTAAAGAGGCAAACTAGCAGACAAATAGACGAGTGCAGTGATATATAAAGCCAAGCAAAACACAGACAGTGGCTCGTGAAAAGAACATCTTAACAGATGCCTCCGATAAACATATAGATTTTCCTTTTCCTTATTAGGCAAAGCCTCTGAAGCCGTTAATGAAGCTTAGGTTATAATCTCAATTCTTTTCTTAATTTTGGGTCAAAGTCTGATGGTCGCAAACTTCTCTGTTTTAAACCTTTTAAAAGAGAATGACCATTTTACTACGCCCGCTTTTCTTTGCTTTAAATGCTATTTATAAAACTCTCATAGACTTGAATTAGCCCCCTCCCTATGTATATTGAATAATAGTGTACTTGAAGGAATGGCTCAACGGACAAAAGACCCAGCAGATAAAGTTCTCGACACCGTACGATACTTCGCAAACTGATCTTGTCACGTGGTTTTTATACTAAATTTGACCAAATACAAGGCTCAAAAGTTACTTAACGTAGGGGGTCAATTTCAAAATGATTATGATGAATGGGTTGAGTGATATGAATAGAAGATATGGCATGAAACAAAGATGATATGGATAGGGTTAAGGCTTTTGAAATTGCGGTTGTAGACTAGATAACCCGTGTCGTGAAATCATAAAGATTGTGCTGTGAGGAGAGCATCCACAAGGGATTTAGATCCACAAAGTAGCATTTTTTAAGAAAAAAAGTTGTCTGAGTAGAACTTCCTCTTTACAATTGGAATACGGTGGAAATGTGGCTGATTCGACAACGGTGCGGTTGTACAGCGGAAAATATGTCTTCCCTTACAAGACAGGCTTACGGCCATATCAAGTTGAAAGACCGGTTCCTGTACGATCACCGAAGTTAAGCAACGTTAAGCGTCGTCAGAACTTAGATGGGTGACCGGTTGGGAATACCAGGTGCTGTACGGGCGATATAATGAGTTTGCAACCATATCACGTTGAAACATCGTTTCCCGCACAATCACCGAAGTTAAGCCTCGTCGAGCCTGGGCAGTACCTAGATGGGTAAACGCATTGGAATACCAAGTGCTATATGCTTGTATGTATGGATAGTATACGGAAATATTACTTTGAAATACTGTTTTAGGTACGATCGCCGAAGTTAAGCAACGTCGAACCTGAGCAGTACCTAGATGGGTAAACGCATGGGAATACCAAGTGCTATATGCTTGTATGTATGGGTGGTATACGGCAATATTACTTCGAAATACTGGTTTAGGTACGATCGCCGAAGTTAAGCAACGTTGAGCCTGGTCAGGAACCAAAGAGGTGACCGCTTGGGATTACCAGGTGCTGTATGCTTAGACGTACGGGCGGTATAATGGAATTACAGCGTTGATCACGTTGAAACACCGGTTTTCACAAGATCACCGAAGTTAAGCAACGTCGAGCCTGGTCAGGAACCAGATGGATGACTGCATAGAAAGACCAGGTGTTCTAAGATTGTATGTATTTGTGGTATAATGAGCGTACGGACATATTACCTAGAAACACCGGTTTTCGTACGATTATCGAAGTGAAGGAATATGGGTGACCGCTTGAGAACACCAGGGTGCTGTAAGCTTGGAGGTGTGGGTGGAGTAATAGATAATGGCTAAGAATTATTAATCGGTAAGCAGAGTTGAAATTCCAGTTAGGTTCGTTAGATTCACTTACGCACAAAAAACCCCGGAAAATTATAAAATACACCTTTCTCCCCCAGTTATGGGTTAATTAGTAAGAGTTGTATCACTAAATTATTATCTCAGAAAAAGATTTTCTACAATCTAAAAATAATATTTCAAGCTTTAAATAACATGTAAAGGTTGATAAGCCGTAAAAAATGAATCAATGAACAAAGACAGCGTAAACGATTTTGAACAAATGAAGAAAGATTCGCATCAGACCAGATATATCAATACTTCATTTTTGGTCTAATAGGAATTCTTGTACAGGTAAAAAACTGCTGAACACAGAACCTTCCTGAAGTAATAGAATGAAGCAACGGACCATTTAAGTAGGTATCTTTAGTGTGAACAGTTTAGGAAGTTAATGTTACAATTACGACTGTTTAACAATCTTTCATTTACCTTTCTATTCCTTCATTAGGAAAATGCATTGGATATGATTATTATTATGAAAATGCATTGGAAATGATTTTTATTAGGAAAATGCATTGGAAATGATTTTTATTATGAAAATGTATTGGAAATGATTTTTATTATGAAGATGCATTTGAAATGATTTTTATTAGGAAAATGCATTGGAAATGATTTTTATTAAGAAAATGTATTGGAAATGATTTTTATTAGGAAAATGCATTGGAAATGATTTTTATTATAAAAATGCATTGGAAATGATTTTCATTACGAAAATGCACTGGAAATTATTTTTATTATGAAAATGCATTGGAAATTATTTTTATTAGGAAAATGCATTGGAAATGATTTTTATCATAAAAATGAATTGGAAATTTTTTTTATAGGAAAATGCATTGGAAATGATTTTTATTAGGAAAATGCATTGGAAATGATTTTTATTATAAAAATGAATTGGAAATAATTTTTATTAGGAAAATGCATTGGAAATGATTTTTATTTGGAAAATGCATTGGAAATGATTTTTATTAGGAAAATGCATTGGAAATGATTTTTATTATAAAAATGAATTGGAAATAATTTTTATTAGGAAAATGCATTGGAAATGATTTTTATTTGGAAAATGCATTGGAAATGATTTTTATTAGGAAAATTCTTTGGAAATGATTTTTATTGTGAAAATGCATTGGAAATGATTTTTATTATAAAAATGCATTTGAAATGATTTTTATTATGAAAATGCATTGGAAATAATTTTTATTATGAAAATGCATTTGAAATGATTTTTATTTGGAAAATTTATCGGAAATTATTTTTTTATGCAAATTCATTGGAAATTGTTTTTTTATTATGAGAATTCATTGGAATTTTTTCAAGACAATGTATTGAAAATGATTTTTATTAGAAAATGCACTTGAAATTATTTTTATTATAGAAATGCATTGGAAAATATTTTATTAGGAAAATGATTTTCATCATGAAAAAGCGTTTGATATGATTTTTATTGGGAAAATGCATTGGAAATGATTTTTATCAGGAAAATGCATGATGGCCTCTTATTTTATGTCACCTCACCACAATGAATGTTTTTGCTAACTAGTCTTGAAAATTAACACTAGATTTTATTTCACATGAAACTATTTTGTAAATACCAATACTAGATTAGTGAGATGAGTTTTTTTAAGATAAACGTTGACAAATTGTGCTGACCTTTAGCATCCAAAGGTCACCTTCCATAGTGTGATTTGTTAAAAAATTAATCTTGTAGATCATTTCCAACCTCACGGGTGCTCAAAATTCTATGGTCTTGTGTCAGACAGTTATAAGTTTGATAAATAGTTGATGTTTGATCGATTTGTTTGTTTTACAGCATATCAACTCCTTCATTTAATTTTCTTGTGAATTTTGAAGTAATAAAATTATGAGACGTTATTCTGTTTTCACAATTGAATACATGGTAGATGATACTCAGCTTTTGTGTATATACATGTTAGTGTGAACATAATTACTAGAGACGATGTTACATGTGTTTTCTATTGTAGTTTTGTTGAAGTTATATTTTGGAATAGAGTTTGATTTCTTTAAGAAATTGTAAGACTATATGAATTAATGTCATGAAAGAATTCTTTCATGTTAGTGGTTAGTTAATTTCATTTAGCAGCATATCATCAACTATGTGTTAGTTAATAATGAAATCTAAAACTTTTTAACACAATTTTATGGCTACAGCTAAATATATCAGGTCATCCCATAAGTTCTGTCAGAATTTTAACTTTTTGTTAAAATGAACAAAATTTAAAGATTATTTTATAATGTCTAATGGAGCTGAACATTATTTTTATGTTTAGATGCATTTAAATTGATCAAATTTTATTTTAGAGAACAATTAAATTAAATTTTGTTTCATTAAAACCCTGTTAACATGGAAGTATCCAAGAATCACTTGAGGCACATAATGCATTATGAGTTCAAGAAAGGAAACTCAGCAGCCGAAGCGGCTAGAAACATTCACTCAGTTTATGGAGAGGAATGTGTGAATGAAAGAACTTGCAGAAGATGGTTTGAAAAATTCAGAGGTGAAGATTTCACCCTTGAAGATGAAGATCGAACCGGATGTCCAGTTGAGTTTGATGAAAAGCTTCTTGAAGCAGCCCTTGAAGAAAATCCTGCTTTATCAGTTGAGGAATTGGCAGTGGTTCTCAGTTCAAACCAAACTGTTCATCGTCATCTTCAACAACTTGGAAAAGTTCCTAAACTTGGAAAATGGGTGCCTCATGAATTGTCTGAAAACAACCGCAAATCCCGAGTTGACATCTGCTATCCTCTCCATTCTCGCCAACTTGTTTTAACTTTTTTGGATAGACTTGTGACTGGCGACGAAAAATGGATCTTTTATCGAAATGTTAAGCATCGTAGACAGTGGCTTGGTAAAGGGGAAGGACCCCAGCCACAGCTGAGAAGGGAACTTCATGGGCAAAAGGTTCTGCTTTCAATCTGGTGGGATCACCAAGGAATAATCCACTTTGAATTCTTACCACCTAATGCAACAATTAATGCTCAAATATACTGTCAGTAATTAGAGTGTTTGAACCAAGCTTTGAGAAAAAAAAGACCTTCTCTAGTGAATCGAAAAGAGGTGATGTTTCATCAGGACAATGCGCGACCACACACAGCAAGAATCACGTCACAAAAGATCGAAGAACTTGGTTGGGAGAAAATTCCTCATCCACCTTATTCTCCCGATCTTGCTCCTTCAGACTACCATTTGTTTCGTAGCTTACAGAATCATTTGGAAAAAAACAGCTTTTGTAACACAGGAAGAGGTTAAAACTGACATTTATGAGTTCTTCGAATCAAAGACAAAAGAATTTTACAGTAATGGAATTAGTAAGTTTGTTAATAGATGGAAGGAAGTAATAGATAATCAAGGAAAATACATTGTTGATTGAATCTGTAATTAAATGTAACATTTGGTCACTTGTTTTCTTTATTTAAAATTCGGACAGAACTTATGGAATGACCTGATATTTTGAATACATTTGAATGCCTGCAACTACAGATAAAATATCTTGTTGGTACTTCTACGTTAAAATATATTGCTGATCATTTGGCTTTAAATATGTATTGTTGGTCATTTTTTTATATAAAAATGTATTGATTGTGTTTTACTATAAAAATGTATTTTTATACTTTCCTATTATTTGGTTTTTTTTTGGGGGGGTCACTATTTTCCTATAGCTGGATCCCTTACAGGCGCTAACACCCCTGGTCAGGGTGGACCTTGGAACACCACCAATTAAAAGGTGGTTCCACGTTCCTCAAAATCTCCAATCCCTCAATCAGATACCCTGCTGTTTGATGCAGTTTATCGTCATACCCGCTACTAAACTCTTGATGCAATATAATCAGTAATATGACGTTACTGAAGAGGGCGACGGTTCACGAGATTACAAGACGCGTATTGCCTCTGCTTTGAAATGTGGTGATTGAATAAAGACATCACGAGATCACGAGATCAAGTAAGTATACGTTGCAAATTGCTAATTGGATATACGCCATGTGGTTTGTACCGTGCCACAGAAAAGTGTGTATTCAATATAAAAGAGGAAGAAAAGTCGGCTTTCACATTCAGGCTAACCCGTGGATCTGTACGCTTGGACACTACTTCTCTCTAAGTTGGAAAAGGTCAAACGTTTTTGAAATTGTTTCATTTCTATTTCATAAAACGTCATTTTACAGCATCATAGAAGAATGGCATTAAACACTAAAAACAAGCAAAGATGAAGTAATAATTTCCAGACTTCATATCGGACACTCCATGATAACACATACTTATATTCTAAAACAAGAGACATCTCTGATCTGTATAGCATGCCAAGAATTGTATGTTAAATAATAGTTTATCTATTATCTTTACGGGGAAGTGTATCACTGCTCCTTTGAGGTCAGATGGAATACAAAACAAGAATGTCGATTTTGATTGGCTGAGTCAGCGTGAGAATGATAGATAGAAAAAGGTTTTCACTGAGTTATTTCTTAACCATGTAGCAGTTCCATCAGATCCTTGTGGCGTAATTTGTCGAAGGCCTTTGCATAGTCTATAAAACATAGGTACACGTTCTTCTGCATTTGTATTGCTCTTTCTGATAACATTCTGAGCATGAATATCGTGTTGACTTTCGTGTCTGAAACGGCTCCCCGGTGGAAGGAGAAAGCAACTCACTGGCTTGTTAGAAGATGTATACGTCGACGTTAATAAACTAGCTAAGTTAAAATACTCTTTGTTGATATCTTATCTCTGAATCAAAAACATTTTGCTTGAGAAGACGTGACAGAGAAGATACAACATGTGAGGGAATCGACGCCGTCACCCAAGAACTCTCCAGAACGAGGGAGGTATACAGCATCGTATTAGTTGGCGCATTGGCCAAAGTCTCCCAGCATGAGGGGGATATACAACATATACCCAATAAAACACATACTAACAAATTGTAGCGACTTCAGCCAAATCCATTTAAAAACTACCGAACTACTAACATATTTAGCTTTCGACATTAAATAATCTATAGGGGTTAATATGCCGCTAAATGAAATTAACAAAACAACCAATATGAAAGAATTCTTTCATTACATTAATCCATCAATTTCTGGAAGAAATCAAAATATATTCCAAAATATAAGTACTTTGAAGTCTCTCGGCTTCAACTTTTATGGCACCCTTGCTTTTGAATCATTCCTAATGTTTTCAAACGCTTCAAAACTGTTGTGTGATCAACTCCTAATGATTCTGCAAGTTCAACTTGCGCCTAACATGAGTCTTCATGCAGTAATGCCTCCAATTCTTTGTCTTCAAACTTTTTCTTTATCTTCAACATCAAAATCATTATTTTTGAAGTGTCTAAACCAATCTTTGCATGTTGTTTCCGAGAGACCATGGTCGCCGTAACTCTCAACAAGATTTATGTGCGCTTCAGCTGTAGATTTCTTTTGTATAAAGTAGCACAGTAAAATTCCCTACAAATAAACTTTCTTTGGTACGAAATCCGACATGTTTGGCGCTATAAAAAATTTCAAGCTTGCTTATAGTACTTCCTTGCAAACGAAGGCGAACTCCACCGAACAATAAACCTGATGAGCCACATGACAAACCTCATCATTTGTATTGTTGAATAGAGCGCTCAGTAGAATCAGGCCAGAGATAGGACAAGATCAGTGCGGGTTCGTTAAAGACACCGGAACAAGGAACACGATATTCATGCTCAGAATGTTATCAGAAAGAGCAATACAAATGCAGAAGAACGTGTACCTATGTTTTATAGACTATGCAAAGGCCTTCGACTAAGTACGCCACAAGGATCTGATGGAACTGCTCAGCAAACCTTGATATATTTGAGAAAGTTATCAGAATAATCAAGAACCTATACTGGCAGCAAACAGCATGCATGTGCATAGGGAACGCGTTCAGTGAATATACAAAAATAGAAAGGGGCGTAAGGCAAGGATGCGTCTTCTCACCGGACCTGTTCAACCTAGACAGCGAGGCTATTCTGAGAGAATTAGAAATCTTACCGGGATTTAACATTGGCGGCCACAACCTTAACATAAGCTACGCAGACGACACAATACTGGTAGCAGACACGGAAGAGAAACTACAAAATTTCCTACGGAAGGTAGCGACGGAGAGTGAGAAGAAAGGACTAAGCAAAAACTACAAGAAAATAGAATGGATGGTCATCAGTAAGGGGAAGAGCCTGAAATGTGATTTGCAGGTCGGGAACACTAGAATCAAGCAGACACACAAGTTTAAATATCTGGGAAACGTCTTGACAGAAGACGGTAAGTGCGACACTGAGATCCGTAGACGTATTGGGATGGCCAAGGACCCATTCCAAAAGCTGGGCAGAGTATTGTGAGACAGCAAGATGTCTTTGGTAACAAAGAATAGAATACTGGGCTGTTACGTGACATCTGTTCTTCTTTACGGCAGCGAATGTTGGACGATTTCTTCAAGGATGAAGAAGAAACTCGAGGCGACGGAGATGTGGTTCTACAGAAGAATGCTAAGGATATCATGGACCGAGCATGTGAGCAACGATGTGGTCTTAGAGAGTTTGCAAACAAGGAGGAGGCTTATACTTAACATCAGGAAGAGGCAGCTGAAGTTTCTGGGACACATAATGAGGAACGAGGGTCTGGAGAATCTGATACTCACGGGTCAAATAGAAGGAAATAGAGACAAGGGAAAGTAGCGTGTGACATACCTGACGAGCTTGAGCAGATGGACGACATTACGTGGTCTGGGGGAGGAAGCAGAGGGAAGGAGCTTGCTGAGAGTTGCAAGGGATAGAAGGAGGTGGAGAGCCATGATCTCGCCTGCGTCCTGAAAGAACATGGCACATAAAAAGAAAGATATAAACAACGAGATTTCAGATAGGCCTCCAGTTCTTGCCCTGACTTGCATTATGACTTGGCTTTAAGTAAATATCGCCATGTTACAAACACAATTCATTTTCTATCCGGTTCGGGGTTGTTATAACATTTTTACCGAGCAGTTCAAATAGATCTTTGCGTCAGAGATTATCAAATACTTTTTGCATAATCTATGAAACCTATGTGTAGATCCATCTGACTTTGTATTACTCTCTCCGAAAGCATTCTGGGCATAAATATATCATTTCTTGTTCCAGTGTCATTGACAAAACCACACTTGTCTTATTTCTGGCTTACGGCCATATCACGTTGAAACAGAGGTTCTCGTACCATCACTGGTTAAGCAATGTCGAGTCTAGTCCGTACCTAGATGGGTGACGGTTCAGGAATACCAGATGCTGTAATCTTGGATATGCAAGTGGTAAAAATTGATCAAGGCCATATCACGTTGAAACACCGGTTCTCGTACCATCAGCGGTAAAGCAATGTCGAGCCTGGTCCCTACCTAGATGGGTGACGGTTTAAGAATTCCAGGTACTGTAATATTGGTTATGCCGGTAGTCGAAAGGGATTACGGCCATATCACATTGAAACAGGTGTTCTCTTCCGACCGTCGCAATTAAGCAACATCGAACCTGGTCAGTACTTAGATGGGTAACCACATGGGAATACCACTGTTAACTACGATTGTTTATATCACGAATATAATCATAATGGGAGGAAAAGTTAATCGGAGAATAAACCTTTCTTCCAAGCTCTCCAATTAATACAAAGTTAAGCAACGTTGAACCTGGTTAGTACCTAGATGGGTGACCGCTTGGGAATATCAGATGCTGTAAGCTTGGGAGAGCGGGTAGTTTAATGGGTAAACGGCTCGGCATTGTTAATCGGAGAGCCGAGTTTCAATTTCAGTTTTGTTCGTGATATTTACTTACGCATAAATACGCTTGGGAAAGGTTTGAATCCACGTCTTCTCCCCCGATCTATGGGTTAATTAGTAGGACTTGTACCAGTAAATCATTATCATCTCCAAAAAGAATTCTTGCAACCTAAAAATATTTTCTGGCTTTAAGTAACCTGCAAAAGAGTGATAAACCGTAAAAAACAATCAGATGTCCTATTTTCAATCTAATTCTATTTCGCGCACTATTCATTAGAATTCGGATGAATCTGCAAATAAAGGCTCCAAATTAAAGTGATTGTTAATTAGAATTAAACAGTGGACGATATTCTCAAATGTCCGTATGCCATTGATTGGTAGGGATGTCGTTAAAATTTATAATTCATCATTCAAGCTACCCAAAATCAAAATGGAAGAGTGTAAAGGGGTATCTATTTCCGGGGTCTGGATTTGATCAGGACAGGTTGGGTCTATTGGAAGATATTCTGATCTGAACACTCTGATCGTCCCGCTTATAAAACACCCACACCCACCCGGCACATCGGAGAGCGTATTTGGTGAACTGTATGTTGCATAGTGTGTTTTGGTGTAAGGGTTAAAATCTTGACACGAGAAAACAGAGAGCCGTGTTCGAATTCCAGTCAGGATCGTTACATTCACTTATGAACAAATACGCTTCTCCTCCGGCTATGGGTGGAATAGCAGGACAGACTGGGTTCTATAGCCTTGGTTGGCAACCGGTCTAATAGCAACCTACTGCAGGAAAATCTTCTGCCCTAGTCAGTCATGAAACGAAACAAACAATCATCGAAGCGTGTATCACGTATGGCACTTAACTGACTGATATTGTATTCGTTAGAAACAAAAAAGGTGTTCTGAATGTGATAGCTCTCATCTTATATAGCAGTGAAGTTTGGACAATCTTCCCAGAGATGAAGAGAAAACTGGAAGCATTAGAAATATGGTTCTACAGAAGGATACTGTAAATTCCAAGCGAAAAAGCAACGATGAGTTCTTTAAAAATATGGTAAGAAAAAGAACACTTCTACTCAGAATCAGAAAAAGATAGCTGAAATTATTTGAATACATAATGAGGAAAGAGGGCTTGGAAAATTTAACCTTCACATGGCATGCTGAGTGCAAGAGAGCAAAGAGAGGGCAGTGGGCCAACGACTTGACGAGCTTGTCTGAATGAATGGCAGGCGGTACGGAAAGAAACTAATGGCGACAAGGGATAGGAAGTTGGGGAGAGCCATGGTCGCCCATGTCCTGATGAGAATCGGCACATAAATAAAGTAATGTTAGCAACAGAAATGTGTATATTTATTGTACTTTTTAAGTGTGGTACAAGTTCGAAGGGGGAGTGGCGTGATGCTGGTCTTTACCGACGATCCGAATCTGATTTACGTCCCATTCATTCATTACAATTTACTCATTTGCCACAAGAACACATCCCTCTTCACCCAATCCTACATTTACCAAAATACTGCATACTCACAAGGGAAACCTACTAAAACCCCATGATGTAAAAGTTTATGAATATTTAAAGTTTTATTTTTATTTTATTTTTCTCATTTTTTTTCTACAATAATATGAGATAAGGAGAAAGAGGATGATCCCAATAACGAAAAAAAAAACGAAAAAAATAACCAAATTTTCAAACTAAAATAAAAAAAAATATATTAGTAGGGCCCGTACACCCCACAGAAAAATAAAAATGGCCGCTGTATTCTGCTAATAGGCAAAATCAAGACGTTCACTCAATAATGGTGATGGAAGGTGTTATGATGTTGATTTGGGGTTAGTAGAGACAAACGCCAAATAACACGTAACAATAAAAAGGGTTTTAATAGGTTGGTAAAAAGGTACAGAAATCGCCTGAGTAGTCAATAACTAGCTCAGCTAAGAACTTCTCTGTCTATCTGTCTTAGTATTTATCGATCCACCCACGAGGACTGAATATGGCACAAGGCCGGTTTAATGTGGGTATCTCCGAACCCGTAGGCTCGGCCCAAAATATAGCCATTGAACCCGCCTAGACGGGTTCAGGCCCTGTCTACCTCCCCGGACGAAACCTTGCCCTTCGGCAAAGCTTTGTCCGGGTTCCTCTCTGCTAATGCAGAGTTCGACAGACATCGCTTACAGTCAAAGACTGTATCACGACTCAGCTAGACTCGGAGGTCTTACCCTCTCTGTCTATCTGTCTAATATTTATTTGCATTTAAAATACAAAATGTGGCACAAGACCAAAAGGGGGGGATGGGGAATGACGGTCTTCTTCTGTCTTTAATCTAAAACTTAGCTAGTCACAGACACTGACCCAAACATGCCAACAATAATCCAATCACCAAAACAACACATTCACTCCTACCTTTCTTACTACGTCCACCATAATACCTCAGTTTCTCTATGAAGTCCTAACTAGTCCCCTTATTTACAGATATTGTTCATGGGGGGAGGGTCATAAAATAACAACTTTTAAAATCCCCAAATGAATATTTACAACGTGAATTAATTATTTACAATAAACTAAATAAAACTGAGTTAGTAATAACCCCCCCCCCCACAAACTATGAATGTGGCAGAAATATCAGTTAACCGGACGAAATCGATGCGGGACTAAGAAAATAAGTACACATTCAAACCATCAAGCATTCACGCAAACACTCACTCATTCATACACAACAACAAATACGAAAGCAAACACCCGAAACGAAAGGCGCCCCGCATCCACCAGAAAACTGACATCACTAACCACCTAACGAGGGAGGGGATGGGGAATTAAACAAAAGTAAAAAATAGGGACAGAAATAAAAGGGACCAATGAGCTTACATACCCTAGCTAAGTTAACCGGGGAAAAAAAGGGAAACTAAAAATTCAAAAACGAAAACCTAGTCTAGCCTAATATCTGGGTGGGTTGCCTATGTTCAACCCTGCTAGGACAAAATTATGTACCTAACCGACATCCAAATTCCACTCTAGGTCAGCTCCTTTCACTCTACACATTCGCGCAAGATTCACCCACCATTTGCCGAATTCTGATGATGGGAGCCGCCGCCTTTCCGTCCTGATCTTGACTTTAAGCTGATGCCTAAAGTACAAGACCAGTTGGGAAGAGGTGAACTTCTCGCCTTCATAGAATCCCTTCTGTCGCGTCGTCCAAATCACGACTCGCATAACCCCTAGTAAGCAACAGAACACATAGTGTTCAGCCTTCGTCAATTGCGGCACCACATTGCTACAAACAGAACTGGCTTCCAGGACAAAAAAACTTTCCCTGCAGCATGCGAACCATGAGGCCTTCAACAAACTTGCACAGTGGCACTACCGTCTTGCACTGAAAAAAAGGCGTGACCAATGGTCTCGACTTCCCCAGTACAGCGACGACAGTTTGGATATTTCTCCAAGCCTGCTGAACAAAGTCTTTTGCCGACCCAGAGGGCCCCACGAATCATCAGCCAGGTGAGTGATGCCTCATCGTTAGTTCAACCCATTTCAACCCAGGCGCCCAAGGCCATATCGAGCGAGCCTCCTGCTTCGTAAGACCGAGCTCGTCGATCAGAGTATCTCGAACGGACCCCCTAACTAAAAATCGATATAATGCCTTACGAGACAACGCTTGGGCGTCGGAGAGGCCATCCGACATCCGCAAGAGGAGCTTCAAAGCACGACGACATTCGCGGTGAAGGAGCACTCGAGACGAGGAGTACGACCGGCCTCCTCCTCGCACGAGTGCACACTCAGGGATGGGAAATGTTTTCGGACATCTTCTTTCCAAAAGGTGCCCACCTCATCCAAACCCGACACATTCGGTCTAGAAAGGTAATGCGAAGCATATATTGACGAATCTCAATGCTAGGCATACCCAGACCGCCCTCAGAGGGATGAAGGCAACAGATCTCGCGAGATGCCATATGGGCCTTGCCTCTCCACAAGAAAGAGAACAAGGCCTTGACTAATGACATTAGTCGGGCATACGGGAGTGGAAGCACAGAAAGACGGTAGAGGAGGATCGGATAGATGTGTGAAACACATACTTCCGCCCTTCCCGTCAGGGAAAGTCTCCTCCGAGACCACAGATTACCCGCAGCCTCGGCCTGCCCTTGTACCTCCGACCAATTCATTTCCAACTGGAGATCAGGACCGAACCAGACGCCGAGTATCTTGATCGGCCCATCCGTCCAGAGGAAAGGTCCGGGAAGAGAAACTCCCTTCCACGCACCCAACCGCAAGCCCACAGACTTATCGCGGTTGATCTTGGCCCCTGTCACTATCTCATAGCCACTGATCTGCTTACTGACTTCGTTAATCTCGGCTCTGCTCGACACAAGAACCGAAACGTCGTCAGCATAGGCAGAATACCTGGCCGAGGTGGAAGCACCAGGCAGCGAAATACCGCGTAGGACCGGATTCGCCTTTAACTTGCGAAGGAATGGCTCCAAGGCAAGAACGTAAAGCAGAGGCGATAGCGGACAACCTTGACGAATGGAGCGAGACAATACGAAAGGCTTCGATCTAACCCCATTCACTTCCACCAGCGCACCGGGGGTCGCATACAAGAGTCGGATCCAGGAGCGAAAGTCGGCTCCGAAACCGGCCGCCGAAAGGACAGCCTCCAGAAATCGATGGTCAACCCTATCGAAGGCCTTGGACTGATCTAAATTGATCAGCGCGGCTTCACTGTCGACTTGTTCTAAGATCAAGCGTACCATATGAAGGTTATCCTGAATAGTCCTGCCCTTGACAGCACAAGTCTGTTCGGGGCCAATCA